AGGATAAGCTAGGTAATGTTCTTAGGGGGACCAGATATTTTCCAAGATTTTAGCTCCCACCAGATAAGCTTCCTGTCTTTGGTTCCAGATTCCTCTGTGGTCACAGCTCTAGCTTTAGCTACAGTCCTAGCTCCAGCTAAGTGACCGTACCTTTTTTTAAAGATTTTATTTATTATGAGAGACACAGGGGTGGGGGCAGAGGGAGAAGCAGGCTCCGCGCAGGAGGGACTCGATCCCTCGAGATCTCTCCTCGAGACCTGGGACTCGATCCCAGGTCTCCAGGATCAGGCCCTGGGCTAAAGGCAGCGCTAAACCACTGAGCCACCTGGGCTGCCCAATGACCTTACCTTCTGGATTTGGGAAACTCAACCTCTTCCATTCCCCCTGCCTTAGGGATGATAGTAGCTTCCTGCTGTTGTTAATCTCTGAGTGATCTTGGCATCCCCACTTCAGCTTGCCTCCTTTATTACCCATGTAATCAATTCTCAGTGTTCAATTCCCTGTTTGAAATACCTCAACTGGTTTATTTCCTTGACTGGAGCTTGACTGATGTGGTAATCGATTCAGTTTTAAATACATTGAGCTTAACTGTGTGGCTCCCTAGTCAAGATCTCTAATAGGCTTGGAAATCATTACCAAAGACCTAGGGACAGAGAGATGGGTTTGGAAAACAATAGCATACAGATGGTATCTGAAGCCATAAGGTCATACTTCCCAAATCGAGGAGGTAAAAAGATTAAAATATTAAATAGTGGACTCACCTATGAAATGTCAGTATTTTGACTTTAGGCCAAGAAAGAACTTGACCAAAAAGAAGTAGAAAACCCGGCTTAGGAATGTCATAGAGGTCAAATGAGAAATGAAATTCCTAAAGGAAATAAAGTTTACATAAAGTTAAACATTGTGGAAACAGGACACACAAGAAAGGAGGCAAATGTTCTTTTACCAAGGGGAACCATTGTTGCTCCCTTGGTGACAACAATGACAATGCAGTAGTAGGGAAGAAATCAGTGAGAAGGGAATAAAGTCAGAGCCATCAATGACCATAAACTCCTTTTTCAGGAGAGCAGATGGTGAAGACATTGAGAGAAATAGTGCCTGAGTTAGAGGAGAGGAAGAGCTGAAGAAATGCCAGAAATGGATACTGAAGACCACATAAAAGATGAGGAGGCCTTCGTGGATCTATCTTGCAAGAAGTTACTGTGGCCAAGTTCAACAAGGGTGTTGCCTGTGTTCTCCTCTAGGATTTTGATGGAATCTTGTCTCACATTTAGATCTTTCATCCATTTTGAGTTTATCTTTGTGTATGGTGCAAGAGAGTGGTCTAGTTTCATTCTTCTGCATGTGGATGTCCAATTTTCCCAGCACCATTTATTGAAGAGACTGTCTTTCTTCCACTGGATAGTCTTTCCTCCTTTATCGAATATTAGTTGACCATAAAGTTCAGGGTCCACTTCTGGGTTCTCTATTCTGTTCCATTGATCTATGTGTCTGTTTTTGTGCCAGTACCACACTGTCTTGATGACCACAGCTTTGTAGTACAACCTGAAATCTGGCGTTGTGATGCTCTCAGATATGGTTTTCTTTTTTAAAATTCCCCTGGCTATTCGGGGTCTTTTCTGATTCCACACAAATCTTAAAATAATTTGTTCTAACTCTCTGAAGAAAGTCCATGGTATTTTGATAGGGATTGCATTAAACGTGTAAATTGCCCTGGGTAACATTGACATTTTCACAATATTAATTCTGCCAATCCATGAGCATGGAATATTTTTCCATCTCTTTGTGTCAAAAACAAAAGCAAAAATGAACTATTGGGACTTCATCAAGAAGCTTTTGCACAGCAAAGGATACAGTCCACAAAACTAAAAGGCAACCTACAGAATGGGAGAAGATGAAGATATTTGCAAATAACATATCAGATAAAGGTCTAGTTTCCAAAATCTATAAAGAACTTATTAAACTCAACACCAAAGAAACAAACAATCCAATAATGAAATGGGCAAAAGACATGAAGAGAAATCTCACAGAGGAAGACATAGACATGGCCAACATACACATGAGAAAATGCTCTGCATCACTTGCCATCAGGGAAATACAAATCAAAACCACAATGAGATACCACCTCACACCAGTGAGAATGGGGAAAATTAACAAGGCAGGAAACCACAAATGTTGGAGAGGATGCGGAGAAAAGGGAACCCTCTTACACTGTTGGTGGGAATGTGAACTGGTGCAGCCACTCTGGAAAACTGTGTGGAGGTTCCTCAAAGAGTTAAAAATAGACCTGCCCTACGACCCAGCAATTGCACTGTTGGGGATTTACCCCAAAGATTCAGATGCAATGAAACGCCGGGACACCTGCACCCCGATGTTTCTAGCAGCCATGTCCACAGTAGCCAAACTGTGGAAGGAGCCTCGGTGTCCATCGAAAGATGAATGGATAAAGAAGATGTGGTTTATGTATACAATGGAATATTACTCAGCCATTAGAAACGACAAATACCCACCATTTGCTTCAACGTGGATGGAACTGGAGGGTATTATGCTGAGTGAAGTAAGTCAGTCGGAGAAGGACAAACATTATATGATCTCATTCATTTGGGGAATATAAAAAATATTGAAAGGGAATATAAGGGAAGGGAGAAGAAATGTGTGGGAAATATCAGAAAGGGAGACAGAACATGAGAGACTCCTAACTCTGGGAAACGAACTAGGGGTGGTGGAAGGGGAGGAGGGCGGGGGGTGGGGGTGAGTGGGTGACGGGCACTGAGGGGGACACTTGACGGGATGAGCACTGGGTGTTATTCTGTATGTTGGTAAATTGAACACCAATAATAAATTATTAAAAAATTTGTAGCTAAAAAAAAAAGATGAGGAGGCCAGATGCATGAGTGGAATGGTTATTCCTTTTTGAAAGGGGGAGGATGGTGAGATTGGTCAACATATAAATACATTTACAGGGTTACTAATTCTACCTTTTCTAATGAATTATCAAGTAGTATCTACTATGTACAAACTTCTCTAACATGAACAGAGGTATTTCACTTTTCTCTCGCCTACTCATAGCTCTCAAAAAAAAAATGGAGGAATCACACACCTCAGGCTAAGTGCTAGCTTCTCTCCAAATGTTTCTAGCAAAACATGAAAATTTCATGTATACAGTGATTGCTAGTAGCATATGAGAACATTCATAAAATTGGCTTTTCCTAAGTGCTTATCCGTCAAACTGTTGTCATGAGGACATTTAAGATGTATTCTCTTAGCAATTTTCAAATATGTGGTCTTGAATTAACTATAGTCACTCTGCTGTACATTGCCTTCCCCATGATGTATTTGTTGTATAAGTTTGTACCTTTTGACTGCCTGCGCCAATTTCCCCCACCCAAATTTGACAAAGCTGTGATCCCATGACTTACTTTTATAGATGCTAAACTCCCTGAAAATATTGAAACACCAGTTTCATATATTCTATATTTATAGACATCATGTAAATATAGAAATGATATAGCTACTTTTGGAAAACCACCAGCTCTTCTTTGTATAACCCAACAGCTATAAATTACAATGTAGTATGTGTCTGTTGTATATTTGCTTATAACTGGAAGCCTTAGAAATGAAGCAGCTATAAATCAATTCCCACAAAAATAAAAATTTGGTCAAATAATGTCCCAGCATCAAGCAATAAATCAAAGGGAACGAATGTTTTCATAAATATAGTTTTGTACAGAACAGAGAACCCAGAAGTGGACCCTGAACTTTATGCTCAACTAATATACGATAAAGGAGGAAAGACGATCCACTGGAAGAAAGACACTCTCTTCAATAAATGGTGCTGGGAAAATTGGACATCCACATGCAGAAGAATGAAACTGGACCACTCTCTTGCACCATACACAAAGATAAACTCAAAATAGATGAAAGATCTAAATGTGAGACAAGATTCCATCAAAATCCCAGAGGAGAACTCAGGCAACACCCTTTTTGAACTTGGCCACAGTAACCGGAGAAGGACAAACAGTGTATGTTCTCATTCATTTGGGGAATATGAATAATAGCAAAAGGGAATATAAGGGAAGGGAGAAGAAATGTGTGAGAAATATCAGAAAGGGAGACAGAACATAAAGACTTCTAACTCTGGGAAATGAACTAGGGGTGGTTGAGGGGGAGGAGGGTGGGGGGTGGGGGTGAATGGGTGATGGGCACTGAGGGGTACACTTGACGGGATGAGCACTGGGTGTTATTCTGTATGTTGGTAAATTGAACACCAATAAAAATTAATTTATAAATAAATAAATAAATAAATAAATAAAACTATTAAAAAAAAAAAGAAAGAAGAAAGAAAAAAAAATATATAGTTTTGTTGATGAGAATGGAATGTGTTTTAAATAATTTAAATATCAAGAAGAGAGGCAATAACAGGTAAACTTAGGTAGCAATTTAGTATATACCCTGTTCTAACCATACTTTACACATTTTACCTAATTTAATCCTTAAAACACAGCCCTACAGACAGATAATACTGTTACCTCCATATCACAGTTTAGGAACAGAGCCTGAGAGAGAGAATTTGTCCCAGGCTACTCTGGAACTCAGGCAGTGTGGCTCTAAAATCTCTGCTCCTGGGTCCCCTGGATGGCTCAGTCAAGTGTCTGACTCTTCATTTTAGCTCAAGTCACAATTTCAGGGTCATGGGATCAAGCCACACATTGGGCCCTATGCTCAGCATGGAGTCTTCTTAAGATTCTCACTCTCCCTCTGCCCCTCCCCAGCTTGTGCATGCTCTCTTCTCAAATCATCGTTTTTAAAAAGATCTACTCCTAACCACTCTAGTGTAATTTATACCCATCTAGTTCCTAGAGTTACTAATATTGGTTTTTAAAAACTTTGCCTTTTTTTAAGGATTATTTGAGGGTAGAATATTGCTTTTTTCCCCTAAATGTATGGCTAAAGAAAACTTCCACAAAGAATAATTTTGAACTTTTTTAATGCACGAAAAGATCATCTCAGAAACAGAACAGATACTGACTTTTTAACGATGAAGCATTATATAAAGAAGCCCCCTCCCCACTTAGTAAATAGGAATATAGTGTAAATAGATTGAAAGGAGGTGAAAACTTTAGGATTCAATGCAAATCCTAAAGTAGTATACAACATTCATATATGGCTTCTTATCTCATAGCAATAGTATTCTCATAATGATGTATATGACATTCATACTTACTGGTAAGATGCTTTTGACTCAAAAGTTAAACAAAAATGGTGGAGAGGTAGTTTTGCCAATGCAAGGTGAGAAAAAAGGCTTTACCTTGCTTTTTTTCCCTTAAACATCTGTAACCATTTCACTTTGTTCTAATTTTCTTCTGAATTAGTCAAGACAACAATGATGCTTTTAGAAGCCAATTTCAAAACCCTCTAGGAATGGATTCCCCCAACTACACAATGATGTTTTTGAAACAACTCCTCTGAAAGTCCCCTGGAAGGCTCCACAGTGTTCCTCTGTCTTGGAAAGGTTACCAATTTTGGCTCCAAGAAGACCTGTTAAGATGTGACCAGCAGTTATAGGGATCCATTCCTATTTTCTCCTCAAATTCTATCCATGGTCTCATTATGGTAATTTCTACAGTGACCCAAGAATATTGTTATGTACCCTGTCATGGTAAGTCAGGGATGGCTTTAAATAAATGTGTGTGTGTGTGTGTGTGTGTGTGTGTGTATAATAAAGTTTGGAACAAAAGTTTGAAAAATTCTCTAGCTAGGCAGTGAGACAGCATGATGAGTACTAGAAGGGACTGCATGTCATTCCTCATGTTTTCAATTGTGTTCCATAAAGTCCTCACATCTCAGATGGAAAGGGAGTTTCCGCTTCTGCCTGTCACATGCTTTATCTGCATGAGGAGACAGAGTGGGGAAGGTCTACTGATATTCAAATTCTTTGACACTGGTCATTTGAGCCTATGTACAAACTAGCTTATCCTATTTTTACAAAGGGAAATAAGCCCTCAAAAGAAAAGTTAAATGTCAAGGGTCAACAAAACATTGATCAATTCGCAAATCTAGAACAGTTATTTACTGGACAATGGTTAGGAACCACTAGAAACAAAGTGACATTAATTGGGGATGACTTGTTACACATCAGAAAGCATAAATATACAGTAAGTAGGAGGTTTATATGTTGCCCCACAGAATATGTACAAGTTGGAGCTACTGTGAGGCTGAGCAGGAATTCCTGGACCATACCCCCAGCTCAAAGCAGATCTCCGCATACATTTATCCTTGCAAATGCACAATGTGAGAAATCAAGGTTGCCAGTGAAATAGCACTTTGCCTGCTGAGTGTCTTCTTCCCCACAAATATGCACAAGTCTGTTCTCCAGTGGTGGTCTGTGGCCTCACAGCTCTTGCCCTTCCATGGTGCCACGATCTCTCAGTGGCACATGGAGCCAAGGCATACGCTGGACCCCTACACTTCTGCTTCTACTGGTTTGTAAGCTCTGCCTTCACAGTCTCCAGATGCAAATCAAAGCATAAATAACAGGCCACGCTCGTGGCTCCTCCATTCACAAGGTTACTAGGAACAGATACTGGTCAAAGCAGCGCAAGTGCCACATGCCAGTGTCCAGGAGTGGAGAGTAGCTTTGTGCACTTTTGCAAAAATACCCCCCCCACAAAAAAAAATCTACCCTACATGTCTTTTATTTCACTGATTAGCCCTGTCTGTAGCTAGGAAGACACTGTGTTGCTCCTGGGCTCTTTCTATCAGCTTCCTCTTCTTTTTCTTGTTCTTCTCCTTTGCCTTTGGGGCTCTCTTTCCTACAATGGGGGAAAGAGAAAGAAATGAAGACACGTCAGAAAAGAAAACACAAAACATTAAGACCTTTACACAAAGCCCATCTGGAAAACATCACCTATGGAAAAAGCAGCCTCAAAGAGAAAATTGTTCACATTAATTTTGACGGAATAATAATAATTTACTAAATTGGATATGCTGTCTAAAACAGAGACTGATCTTCCTGTTATAGGGAACTGGCATATTTAAAAACCTCTCAGCGGCCTGATCAGTCTTGCAAATATCATCCTGCCACAAAAATTCCATTTATCCCCTCCGACTTATAACAATACTACCCTTTACTAGACATCTTTACATCTTTCTCCTGCTCCACATGTTGGTGGGTCGAAAGAAAATAAGCATCTATCTACAGTAAATATACCAGAAGTTTCAAACTCCCTTCTCCCTGCCCCCACCCCCAGGAGGAAAAAAAAACTCTTGCTTCTAACATTATTCCTTCCCTGCTCTCCAAAGGCCCGCATATGAAATGACATAGGTGGAATACTTCTTTGTTTTCTATAAAAATTCATAAGGACACCATTCCTTATGTGGCTTATGGCCTCTTATACAAATCTTCTAGACCAGTTATTCTGATTATTGTGAGCAAGAAAAATTCTAGTTTGTCCCGAAGACCTGGCAATAGGTGTCTTACTACCAGAAGATCATGCCACCACATAAGCCTATTCTCCTCTTTGCCTCCACCATCAGGATGACAGACCATTAGCTAAATCGTTGAGATTTGTCTCCATCAGGAGTTTTTTTTAATATAACTCTCCCTTTGCCTCCACTGTATTTCACTTCTTGGATCTTGTGGTTGTGGTCCATAGTTTTTACAACATCTCAACATTTTAAATATGTATACCAAAGATCATGAGAGAAAAAAAAATTTAGGTTCTAAACCCACAGGAATCATGGGAATTTTAGGACAGAAAAGAGCTTAAAGGTCACTGAGTTGTGCAGAAATTAAGTCATCACCATACACCTCCAGAAGAGAAAGATTCTTCCCTCAACAGACTGTCAACTCTCCTACTTCCATTTTAATTGTGTAGCCCTACATAACTTCTCTCTTTGGTGAAGTACAGCTCTTAGATATTATAGTAATCGGTACCACAAATAGGACATTCAGTTCTAACACATGCTTTCCATCCTTCCAAGACCCTTTATCACAGGGACATAGCTGGCCAGCTTTTCAGTTGAGACAATGGAGGTGGCGGCTGAGGTAAGAAAAGGGAAAGAAACAGACCAGAAGTTTGGGAGCTAGATCCATGCCTTAGGAAAGCAGAATCATACTAGATTACAAGAGTCTAGAAGATTTCTAAACAAGGGAGGGATTTCTCATTTTGTTTGGGATGGAAAACCGTCACATGGTTGGCACATAGTTGACAGTTAACAAGTGTTTGCAGAGTAAAACTTTATCACATGATAAAGAATAATTTTAATAGGACACTAAAGCAAAATAATCAGAATATAATCATGCCCTCACAGTAAATTATGACAGCCCCTGAAGTTAATTTCTGGTTCTTATTAAATTCTAGCATTAGTGTTACAATGGTACCTTGCCATCTTTAAACATAGTTAATCCTACCCAATGAAACCATAGTCCAAACCATCATTAAAATCAAAGAAGTGGTAAAGTTACTTTAGATATAATGATGAGACACACACCTAATGAAGACAGAGGAAATACTTAACATAAAATTTCATATTTTAAAAGAAGCTTCAATTATAAAATTTTTAAAGATTTCCCTAGCTCTATATTTTCTCTAAACAAACAACAAAAACTTTAGTTAAAATCACTGCTGACTACATTGTAAAAATGAGCTGATGTTTAATTTAATCAAAGCCTGGAGTTTCTTTTAAAAGCAAATTGAAATTGAGTAAATGGAAAAATAATATTACTAGATGTTTAAATGTGTTAAGATAAAAATATGCTGAGTATTTGTTCAAGAAATCTATTCACATTCATCATTTCAATTTTTCATGTGAAAAATGTACAGTACTTTCGCTAACAGAAAAATCTATGCTAAATAACTGGAAATTCTTATTTTAAGAGAGGGTCAATTTCATGCCACTTACCTAATATATCATTCTGATGTAATCGTCAATATCAAATGGTCCTCGGGTTTGCTGGCTGACATAATATAGTGTGATAGGAAAGTTACTCAATATTTGCATTAAAGAGTTCATAGTGTGGCCAAAATTTCAGCAATGCTTCTGGAAACTTATATAAAATAAGTTTTCAAGTTGTACAACTATTCCACTGGCAATAAGTTATATGGTACTGGTTTCAACTAAAGATGTTTGGGAGACCTAATTACAACCCTAAAAATTTTCCTCAGAAGTCTCTTTTGAATGACATCTCTGTGCTATTGGTTCATTGCTTGGTTTTGTTTCTGGTCAGCCCCATTTCTCATGTAGGATACATTGCAAATACCAAAGAATTAAGATGGTTAGCCAAGATCTGACCACAGATAGGCCTAAATTAACTGAAAATATTTTGTGGTCCATAGTAGACTATTTTGACTTAAAACCCAACTCAAGGTAATAAAAAAAATACTAAAATAAAACCTAAGGTATAAAAAAGATCTTGTACATATTTTCTTCTGAACTCTACTAAGATTTTCAAACCTAAGAAATTGGTAAGATTAAAGCTAACAGAAAATACAAATACTGTTTTGATCTATCCATTTGAAAATAAGTTATATTGGACATTCAAGTGTGCTAACTCATGTTTGTTTCTTTACACCTGTGGCTGTTTAGACTATGAGATTAGACTTGGAGAATGCCTTCTAGACTTTCAGATTATTTCACATTCTTAAGCACATTTACCCTGTACAGGAAGCATTTAAAGGCAAGTATGATGCCAGTCACCCCAAGAGAAATTCAATTCATGGGTTTAGCTTTCTTTTTAGCTCACAAGTGACAGCCTGGAAACTATACTCCCAAGATCAGCAGAAAAAGGTTTGAGTTTAATGAGGACATTATCAGCCTCCAGCTATATCCAACTTTAATCACAAATGTGCATATCTTTGTCCTGAGTACTTTAAGAATAGTGGCCTTGACAAATCACTGGTCAATCTCTTCAGCACTGTTCTATGGATGCAAGATGACTGGCTCAGATGTTACAGTTGTTAAGGAAAGCAATAGGGTTTAGTAGAGAAAGGCAAAAGGAAAGGGAGCTGATAGGTAAGTGTGGTCTTGTAACTAAGAGGTTTGTTGAGGCATCATACTTGTGACCCTCATTTTTTACATTTATAGAATGAAAATGCTTGATCCTTTTTCACCAGAAAGTTGTATAAAATGTCATAAGACAAGATCATCATCAAAACAAAGTTAGAAAGATACCATCAAAACCACACTCTAACCAACACAATTATATTGATTTGCACACATGTGGAAATGGTCCAACAGGATAACCTATCAACTCTTCTACAGAGAAAGGTGAACAGTCCCTTATGGAAATACTCCTAACGGCCAGCTGTAGATGACTGCTATTAGAAATAGGATAGATTATTTTCAACCAAGATATCAGGCAGACTCACAAATTACATGAAGCTGTGAAAATATGGACTCCACTGCCAGGCAGGCACGAATTTCATTCTTTCCTAAGCCCCAAAGTTGAGGAAAGTCTTCAAAAGGTTTTTCCCCTCACTAGGTTTAGGTAAGTTTTTTCATAATTGGGATCAATGATTCTTGTGCATCTATCAGTGAGGCACAAAGGTTATGTAGGGTTTCCAATAAAGAAGGACAAACATAATATAGTCTCATTCATTTGGGGAATATAAATAATAGTGAAAGGGAATAGAAGGGAAGGGAGAAGAAATGGGTAGGAAATATCAGAAAGGGAGACAGAACATGAAGACTCCTAACTCTGGGAAACAAACTAGGGGTTGTGGAAGGGGAGGAGGACGGGGGGTGGGGGTGAATGGGTGATGGGCATTGAGAGGGGCACTTGACGGGATGAGCACTGGGTGTTATTCTGTATGATGGCAAATTGAACACCAATAAAAAATAAATTTATTATTAAAAATATATATATATAATTCCAAAAAAAGATTACTAAGTGTTTTAAGGAAGACTTTCTTACAGTAAATGAAATGAGAGAATTTTAAAGAAAAAATTCAGTAGCTGTGACTACGAAACAAAAGTCCCTCCCTTTCTCTCCACACACACACACTTGCGCACATGCACTCATGGACACACACACACACGCGGGAAAATAAGCCACAATTATGACAAATGTGATTTCCACTGCTAAAGCCACAACTGTGATGACAAAGGTGATCATCTGAAATCAGGACTGATTTATATTAAATTTTAATGCTATCTTTGTGATACTAACTTGAAACCTGGGTTTCACTGTATTTATGAAATTGACTAAGGAGACTTGGGGATCATTTCAGAGATTGGGTCATTCTTCAGAGCAGCTGAAATTGAGGGTCAAAACCTGAAAACCACAAAGCTGGGGAATTTCGTTACATTTCAGAGGACACGACTAGATGTAGAACAGAGAAATTTGCTTCCACATCTTTACAAGGACTGAGTTGTAGACAATGAATAGCAATTTTGATCTATTTCTCTTTCTCATATGGGCAGCTTGAGTTTGCCCAAGAATGAGTAGCAACAGAGATTTATTTATTTAAGAGTGATTGATGATTCTCTGGAAAAATGCCAGTTGGTTCCTAAATATTTTAAAAGCTCATAAAAAACAGACAGAAGACTTAAATATAATTCTTAAGGGAAATAAAAACAGCTAATAAATATATGAAACAATCGAATCTCACAATTAAAAGTGCCAAATAAAATGAGTTGCCACTGCCAAGAATCTTAAAAGTAAAAAGTGAGAATGTGGTAAGACAGGCATCAGGATGCATTATAGAATATAAAATTGATTCAGTCTTTCTAAAAGCCATCTGGCAATGTGTACAAAAGCATTAAAATATTCATAACTTTTGACTCAGATCTAGGAACTCATCCTAGGAAA